TGTCTCCTTCCTGGGGCTGAGACAGAGTGATTGGCCCAAGATCACCACAGTGGCTTTGTGTCCAAGGGAACCCATGAGTTCCCAATTTCTAGCCTGGTAGTTTAACTATGATACCAAACTAGCTCTTAGACTGCTACATATATGTTCAGAGGATTCAGGAATTGGAATCCTCATTCCAGGATAAAAGTGGCACAACAATGAAGGGCACTTCTATGGCCCAGATTAAAATGGCACTGTCTGATTGAAGGGAACTTGAACTCACCAACTCTATCAGATTGAACTGTTCAGGCTGATATTACAGAGTCAGGTGATTCCTCAAATAATCAGGCTCTCTATCACATAGGGATTTATAAATCTTAACCAGCATCTTGAATCACAAAGTACTACTTTTGAATGGGGAATTGTTAACCCATCCGAGATCAGAGACAGAACATCCCTTGATTTAGGTGGCCTAGTATTCATAATAATTCAGTATTGGTAGGATTGGATCAAAAATAGTTCCAATCCAAATCTGCAGAATATCCAGGTACTGGGGCAGAACCTAGGTAGCTATTGACACTAATACTAATATTTCCAATGAGAAATTGGCCTATGATTCTAAAGGTAGTTTATATTTTAGTGGCTTGATTTATTGCCTTCCCTCCACAACTGAGCTTCCTTTTCATATCTTTTTTGGCTCCCCTGAATGGCTTTGTGGAAGAACGCTTAAGAGGCTAATGTGAATTATTTTGCATGATGTAATATTCTTTAAGAAAAAGTGGATTAATGAAATCAGATAAAGCTTCCGAATTATTTCGTCCAAAACAAGATTCTTAGATTATTATCAGTAAGTAATGAACAAATGATAGCCACAAAATAAATAAATACAATTGAGGAAGCAAAATTCTGCTGTATTTTCTTTCTATTTTCTGCCACTGTTCAATTTTTGATTGTGTGTGTGTGTGTGTGTGTGTGTGTTTATTGTTGTAACTACTTGAAAAGGAAAAAAAAAAGAACTGGGAGAGTGAATATTAATAAAAGCAACGAAGGCTCATTAGGCAGCTAGGAATGTGTTGGGGGGAGATTCACTGGGAGGAGGTGGTGTGGGGTTTTAATTAAATCAGAAATTCAGTAGAACAAAATTGCCAGAGAAGAATAAGCCAGAAGTCCAAAGAAGCTTTGAGCTGTGATGGTGAAAAAAAGCAATGGCATTTTGGAATGAGATGAATTCATATTGAAGAGTTGATCATTTCATCACTGTAGATAGTTTTGCTCTCTTATACCTTGTTTATACAGGATGGGAGTGAAATTAAATCATGGGGATGATTAAAATGTTTTTGACAGGTCTCAGTAGGGGAAAACAAGAGAGATGGTTTTAAATGCAGGATGTGGTTGTCTGACTATCCATCCAACTGTCCAGCCTTCTTTTACTTCACTTTTTTTAGACATGTCCAATACAAGCTACAACATTTTGAACATGTCCCACATTCATTCATAATCAAAATTGTTTGAACTCCCCTCCTTCTTACATCTGTAGATCTGGCCTGTTGAGGTTACTATCCCTGGAATTTTAAAACAAAAAGATAGCCAAAGAAAGACAAACAGACCCTGTATATAATAAATGTAAACAATCTTTCTTCTAGATTTCTACTGGGTGGTGAAGCCCAAGTATGATACAGATACCTTTTTGCCCCTGTTTAAGCTGCAGGGATAAAGATGGACCTCTTAGTGAATTGTAAACAAGTTGACTGATACTGGAATCATCTTTGAAGATCCTCATGTGAAAAGTATCTGCATTAAGGTTACAAAAAGTTTTGGGAGCTGATTCTACACTATTTTTAAAAAACATTGCATTTCTGATATTTGTGTCCATTTATTCTACCGCACATCAGAGCAGGCAACAATACCTAGTCAATACCATCTTGAAAAAGCAAAGCATGGCTGAACCTGGTTAATACTAAAAGGCAGGTGATCAGGAAATCTCAGAATTAAACACTGGATGCAAGATAACAATAACAACAACAATAATATGTCAATTCGTGAAGCATTCCTGACCTGCTCAGCTTCTTTTGAAGCTTGGCTTGAGGCTCATGATTTAATTCGGAACCCTGACATAACAAATCTTAGAAGAAGGGAATGGTAAACAGTGTCTATAATTCTTCCAAGACTTCAATCTCTACATGAAGCCATTAGGAGTTAAGTTCAACTTGCAAGAGACTCTACTGCTCTTTTGTACAAATAGTCCTGTTGATCTAATATTTAATTCAGTTGAGCATCAAATGATAGCCTATATCACATTAGAAGTTAAACCATTAAGAATACTGCCAAAATAAATATGAAAATAAAATTAGCATTTATCCCTGTTGCCTATCTGAATTTACAGTTAGAATACTAAGTATTAAATTTCTGTTGTATTTCTTTGGCAATATTTAATCTCTAGTAAGGATGCACAAAATACTGTAGTCTTTTTAAAATATAATTTGACAAAATGACTATGTTTTGTTGGTCTAGTTGAAGTTTGGTTTTCTTCAAGTTAATGGTAATTAGACTTGCTATTCTGGTCTTTGTTATGTCTGCCTTTTGTTGACTCTCTAAATGAGATTTAGATTAGGTTTTTATTTATAGAGATTTGAGAAAAAGCAAAGCTGTCTACATTCCTATCCTATGCTGCATATGGAAACTGGCTGTAATTTCAGATTTAAGAGATGCTAATACAATACTACAGCTTCACCTGAGAATGTTTTTCAGGAAACTTGTGCTTTGAAGGACTGTGCAATTTTTCCTTGGGGGAACAATTCATTGAACACAAATATACATAAAGTAGGCTAATTTAGAATGCATATATTAATCATTCCTGTGTCCTGAAAGCCACTTAAATTATATTAAAATGAGTGGAATGTCCTTGCCATTGCCCCTTGGATGGTTCTAACTATCAAGGGTACTTTGTCTCTTACAAATGCAATTGTGGCTTGTAAAAAGAAGAATAAAAGAACAAATCCTTGCTATACAGGATATTCATATGTTAGTTTAGATCTGGTTAAGTGTTGCTTATATTTGTTGCAGGTAGTCCTTAACTTATGACTGGTTACTTAGTGACTGTTCAGAGTTACAATGAACCCCCTGTTTACAGATAGTCCTAAACTTATGACCATTCATTTAAAAGCAATATGTTCTAAAAGCAGAGATGGGTAATGAAACATCTGTTTTAAAAAAACAACCAAGCTCAGGGAGCACCAAGGACTTCGTACTGAAACAAGTGATTTATAAGTACTTTTTTCAGTATGGACTCATTGGTGCTCTCTGAGCTTGGTTGTTTGGGGCCCACACCTATGGCTATTGTAACATGATCAAAATTTGGGCACTTGGCAACTTGCATGTATTTACAACAATTGCAGAATCCTAAGGTCACATGATTGTCATTTGGGAATTTCCTAACCAGCTTCTGACAAGCAAAGTCAACGGGGGAGACTGGATTTCATTTCATTTCATTTCATTTCATTTCATTTATTAGATTTCTATACCGCCCTACTCCCGAAGGACTCAGGGCGGTGCACAGCCAAACAATAAAAAACACATACAATACAAAATTTAAAAATAGAATAAAATCAAATTAAATAATTTTGGCCCCGACAAATTTAAAACCCCAGACTTTTAAAACCAATTTAAAATTGAATATATTAATACTAAAAAATGTTTAAAATTTTAAAAATCTTTTATAAAAGAGGGGGAAAATTAGTGGTCGTTCGCTGTCACGACCAACTGCAAAGACTCTGCAGTGCACACACACACACACACACACACACACACACACACACACACACACTGGAGATCTTTGAAAAGTAACTGTGATTGTGACGGGGGCGGGGTAGGGATGAGGCCTAAGTGGCTGTGTGGACCCAAGGGGCAGAAAATAGCATGGGGTATCTCAGGGGCTGCGGGGATGCATGAATCGGGTGGACTAGTGCCTATACTAGGACCCCCCCCAGGTATCTGCCACCCCTGAGGGACCCTGTGTTCCACTTAATGACCACATATTTAACAAATGCTTTGTGGAGAGCAGGGATGGGGTATATGTTAAATGAAATGGTTCACTTAACAGCCATCCCAACCATCAACTATAATGGGCAGACTGCATTACAGTCGTAACTCACAGACTACCTATAAGGATCTCTAGTGAGGAGAGGCCATTGTTGAAGAAAATGGTCAGAGTCAGACCAATATTCATTGATAGAATAATAGACTTTAGCCCAGCACTTCTCTGATCATATCCTGATCCCAAACTTTCTTGGCAGTAAAGAAAACGTATGTCACAAATGCCTGCAGGCCCTCAGGTATTCCAACCCCATTTTTATCTTCTTAGTTCCTTACTGGTTTCTTCCACCTGCCCTCCCAACTGCTTTTACTCTGTTGAGTTCTCCCTTTTTCTTAATTCATAAGCATTTGTATATGTGGCAGAGCAAAACTAATATCACCCAATAGGTGTATTTCTTCCTATATGCTTCAGAATAGAGAGGGGAGTGTTGTTGAATAATATGACACTGGACACATGGATCCTTTGGGCTAGAAGTGTGTATACTTTTGCCGCACCATGTACCGCACTATTGGAGAGGAAACTCCACATGAACTGTACATTATCCTCTTGATGTGAAATGCAGTATTTGCAACATCCAGAATCCAAAAAAGAGGATTTTATTAAGTTCCTTTGTGTGACTAGATAAACTTTGCAAAAGGAAAAGACAAACCAGGGGAACAAGGGGATGAAACAGAAATAACAGTTTAAAAAAAATATGAATCCCATCTTTGGGATTGATGGCATTCTTTTTTAATGTCTGAACAGCTTTTTGAAAAATATGGATAAGAAAGTGCACTTGAATGCAAGATACTTCTCTGTGAATATGGGGATTTCTCCAAATTCTAGTGGAATTAATAGCAAGAGATTGGCCTTTAATGTTCACAACAGCCTAATCCAGAAATAGTTTATTAGAGCCCCAAATGTTGAATCCAATGAAAATTAGCCACCAGCCTTTAAAATGTATTTTATTCCTTAAGTTTCATTTGTCATAGAAAGAAATATGAAATCTGCATGCAACTCCCTAAATATTTCAAACATTTAAATAGTGTATGATAATTTAGCAGTACAATACATTATACAGAAAGATAATATAGGGAAATCTCCTATAGTATATTTACAATTGAAAAGGTAGTTTTGTTACTTGTATTTTTTATAAAGAGGAATGTACTGCTTACCAGTGAAATGATTACATTCGAAATAACAGATTGTTGCTTTATGACTAAAACTTAAATGTCCATTCCCCTATCAGAAACTTCATCCCTTCCCAATAATAAGGTACATTTTTGGATAATTCTAAGCTACAAATCTAAGAAATCATACACAATATACCTGAAGATATCACAGCGCAAAATTGCAAACTTCAGAAGAACTTCAGGTAAGAAAAAAGTGTCTTTTCCATATTAAACTGCTTTAGAAATATTTTTATCCACCAAAAGAGAATGAGTAGTATATTTTATATTATCCCATCTGCAGGGATTAGAAAACAGACAGCTTTTATCAATTTTGTAATGAGAAACCTTATTTCCAAATTTTACAGCAGTAGATATCAATGTACAGAACAATCCCTAGTTTAGGCCTTCTTATTCCATAGAAAAGGACATACCAGAAATGTTTATTGTGGACTAGAAACTTGCCCTCCCCATGCTAAAAAAGAATGACTGTTCTAGATTTTGTTTTTAAGAAATTAAGATTCATTTTATGAGCTTATAAAGCCCAATATCGAGTCATAGGAACAGAATAGTTATGAAATTAAGATTATACAAATACATTTTAAATGAAGATTATGTTTCATGATATTTTTCACTAGAAAGGAGGCATGTATAGGATCTAATATATAAAGACACTTATGAAATCTGGTGGCTTTTTTGCAGCTATAAAATGTAAAAAGTGATCCTTGGTAACAAGAAAAGTGCTTTATAATTAACATAGATGTTGAGTTGTGTCTTGTGAGAAGTCATCTTTGTTGTCCATCTTTCTTATGCCCATCTATTAATCAATCCCACTTCTTCTTCTAGACATCATTCTCTTACTCTTCATAAACTCTGAAAATATAAAAGTAAAAAGTAAGAAGAAAATATAAAAGTAAGTTTGATCAAACAGTGGAACAACCCCATAAGCTATTCAGTAAACTAAAATTCAAAGCATTGATCCATCAGCCTTCTTGGGCAAATGAGATATAACTTCTGTTCTCTTTCGAAGTCTTATGCTACTTAATCAACTTACTGGAGGTATTAAAACAGAATTTGTATGGCCATTGGCCAGGGGTGCGATAGAAGTAAATTTGTGCATTGGGTAGAGGATTGGACTAGATGGTGAAAAGTGGTGTTTACTATTATGTTTAATAAAATTAGCTTCCTATATATGTTTAAGGCAATGCTATTATTTTGTGTTATGTCAATATTAGGTTAATTGTGAGTTTTGTTATGTTGCTGTGGTTTGTTGTTGCATATCTAAACTGTTTTGAAAGATATATGTAAACAGTTGGACAACAATACATTAGGAAATACAGAATGGGAGATTTAATATAGGAAGAGATTTAGAAGCTGCTTTGTGAATATCTTCAAGAAGCTTTGACATGTGTTTCAAAATTAAACTCTTCAGGTTCAAAAGCAGTTGATTAAGTATAGAAGCCTGCTTGTTTATATAGGCAATTGCTGTAATTTATAGCTTTTATTTTAAGACCAGAAACCTATAAATACTGAGAATGGGCAAAAAATGTTTAGTAAAACAAAGATGTAAATATTTTACAGAGTATAGCTGTGAATCCAAGTTCAGTGTTTGGACTGAGATCTCCTTCATATATTCTTGTATTAATTCATAGTGAAATGTCTCTTAGATTTGTTTGCTCTGTTCCCACAACATCCTTAATCCAGCCGGTCACTCACACAGCCAAATCTCTTGGCAGTTCTATATTGAGAATGTCAAATCCCCACTCACTTTTTCTAAGGAGGGCCTGGAGAGTATGGGCAAGGCTGGATGATACAACCAGCCCTTCCCTGTTTGTCATGTAGGCAACAATAGGTATGGTTTAGTCAGAGGCATCTGCAAGATTAGATTTTTTGTCCAAATGACCAATGCAGTGTTGCACGAATATGATGCAAACTCTACTCTCTTTATATACATGTGTGAGAGCACAACATCATAAAGAAGGTACAGAGCTCATGTTACGCTGGCATAATGCTGCTTTAATCTCTTCCTGCAGACAGCTCTGGGCTTGGTCACTACAGGTAAACAGTATTTGGTTGAAATGTTTGAATGACTAGGCCTTGGCTGTGAGTGAGTGTTGTAAAGATCATTGCTTTTTCAGCTGTTCCTTCTTTTCACTTCTCTATTTGGAGGAGAAGATATGCAAAACAGGCTAATATACTAATTTTTCTCATGGCTGAAATTACTCTACATTTGTGTCTCATGGGGTACATTTAGAATTGACCCTATGCTCCAGGGGGTAAATTGACCAAGTCAATCATTTCTATTTGATGTGGCAATGACGCCACTATATTCTCTGACACATTTCAAGTAAGCCATCAGGCACAATACACGTTTATCCCTGCTACATATTAACAGAATCTTACAAGTCTGAAAGTACAATTTTTCCCACAGAACGCTTAGGCTCTCTTCTGAAGCTCTTGTTCCACCCACTATGGAGCTGCAGGCTATGTTGCCTCTTATCTGATCATTACCTAGGCAGCATCTCTTTGCCCTGTCTCCCAAGGTTTTTCTCATTACAGATACCAATAATCTGTGACATATCTGATAGAATCCAGCACTGACTATGTAACTACTAGTTTTGGTCCAGAAAGGCATACCAAAAATGCCATTAAGGGCCCAGAATTTGTTAGTAAAAAGTGAATTAACAAATGCGAGCTTATTTACCTCATTAGTGGGACTAAATTGTAATAAGAAGCAAATTTGTTACAACACACCTCCCACTGTTGCATTTATCCATTTACAAAACCAGCAAAATCATAATTAAAATCATCGATTATTTCTAGATATGACACCTGCTGATCCTTAAAACTTTCAAAAGTTTCTAATATATAATTTAAACATTAATTGCTGGGCTCTGCCCAACTTCTGCTGACAAAAAACTCCCCTCTCTTTTGGGGAGCAGGAGTATATTCTCCAAATAGTACCTTCAATGTTTTGCTTGTATTTTGAGCTTTTATCAAAGGGGAACTAGGCAGGCAATCAGACCCTTTGTTCCTAGCAGTTCATCTGCTTCTGCTGTTTCACCTCAGGGCAGGTGTGCCAAAGCTCATTGAACCAGAATGCTGAAGGAAATAGCTGTTTACCCAAGTCTCTATTCATCTCTTTTATACAGAGAAGCAATCTTCTGGCCTTTTCACCTGGGAAACAGGTATTTAATTTGTTCTCTAACCATAAGGGTTTTTGTTGTGTGATCCTGGGGATATCACCCAGGAAGACAGTTTTGAAAGATACTTATGTTACATTGGGTAGCTGGACAATGATTTATCGTACTGGTGCACAATTGCTAAGGCAGAGATGCAGTAAATAAATGGTAGTGATATATTATAATTCTTCTATATTTTTTATCCTGCTTTCATTATTTTTTTTCATAAATAACTCAAGGTGTGAACATACTTAATACTCCTCTTATTTTCCCCACAACAACTCTGTGAGATGAGTTAGGCTGAGAGAGACGGACTGGCCAGTGGGATTCAAATTTTTTTACTACCGGTTCTAATCCTGTTTTAGGCATGAAAGTCGGCTGGGTGACTTTGGGCCAGTCCCAGAGGTAGTATTCAGCAGGTTCTGACCAGTCTGGAGAACCAGTAGCGGAAATTTTGAGTGGTTCAGAGAACCGGTAAATACCACCTCTGACTGGCCCCGCCCCCATCTATTCTCTGCCTCCTGAGTCCCAGCTGATCGAGAGGAAATGGGGATTTTGCAGTCACCTTTCCTTGGAGTGGGAAGGGAATGGAGATTTTAGAGTATCCTTGCCCTGGAATGGGGTGGGAATGGAGAGTCTACAGTATCCTTCCCCTGGAGTGGGGTGGGAGTGATTTTACAGTATCCTTCCCCTGCCATGTCCACCAAGCCACGCCCACCAAGCTATGCCATGCCGACCAAGCCATTCCAAATATGATCCAGGTCTGGCGATTTTAACTATGTTACCTCTAGCAGGATTATGCCAATTAATCCAAAGGGCTCTGGATGAAGTGGGAGAAGCAACCCTCTAAACCTGCTGCTGGGAGCACTAAAGCGATTTGTTTTGTAACAGAATTATAAAGTTCAGATTGACTCAGAAGACGTTTTAATTTTTACTTTCATGGTATCTTTGGATATTATCACAATGCTTTGCCAAAATCAATGCCCATCAGATATGCCTGGTCAACTACTGCACATCTGGGAAGAAATGGATGGCAACTTTGAAAACAATAGCCCAGCACATCTGAAATTACTAGGTTATAGAAAGATTTTTAAAAGATTTGATTAGGTGAAAGCTTTGCTTATATATGAAGAAATTCCAGATATAGGTGGATCTTTCCTGAATCACGCTGTTTAATTTGAATTCAATCTGACCTTTGTGCATAATATGATCTGTAAGCGAAATGCTTAAATCAAAATTGATCTTAGTATTAGGTTAATTCAGGGTTGTAGCTAAAATTTGGAACTTGATTTTATGGAAGGATTTTAGCAAAACATAAGCAGAGGATCTTTTTCAATCCACTACACAAGCATAATAAGAAAAATAATTTAAAGGATAAGACATCTGTTTCCCAGAAGGTTTTATTTTTTCAAAAAAAAATTCTCCCTAGGGCTGTCTTCTCAGGAAAAAAAGTTGGGACTCTATTTGTGTAGCGGGTAGGATAAAAATTAAAACTGAGTGGAGCTCTTTTTTCTCTTATTTTCTTTAATCTTTGGTTTATATCTCCCCTGCACCCACTGCAAGAGAGAAGTAAGACTACAGTCTTGTGAAACAGAATTATGCATCAGAAGTAAAAATGCAGAAAAATGCAACAGCTTCTGAAAAATAATAAGCATTGCTTCCTACTCATTCCCTACACTTTGACCACTTATTACACACACAAACAGACACACACACAAGTGAGAAAAGACAAGCATAATTTATGGTTCATATTGCATGCATAAAACATGACCAAAGTATTAGTGTTCATCCTTATATTAATATTTTGTCATAAATTGCTTGTGGGATGTGATTGATTGATAGTTAAAATCTGGAGTGGCATGTTAGTCAGTAAGAAGGTAGGTAGGCAGGCAGGCAGGCAATGTTTAACACACTGGCTCCAGGCTTAAGCAGAAACTTTTTGTTTGTGTGGGTATGCTTTCGGGTCAGTTTTGACTCCAGGTGACTACAGGAGTAGTTCCTGAGTTTTCTTGGCAAGGTTTTTCAGATATGGTTCATCATTGCTTTGATGGGCCTAAGATCACCCAACTGGTTTTGGACCAAAGGCAGAGCTAGAACTCATGGTCTCCCACAGTTTCTAGCCTAGAGATAATTGGATTTCTAAGGAGAATTACTTCAGCAAAAATATAGATACATTAATCAGTCATTTAATGTATTACACTTTTTCAAAGAAATCAATTAATAGCATAAGTTTTTTCAAGTTAGATTGAGCCTGTAGCTACAGAATGACACCTAGCATGCTTGTCACTGTAATATTGAATCAAACGTGTCAGAGACATCTTTTTTCTAAATGAGTGAATTTGGTTAACCAGAAATAATAAGGCTAGATGGTTGCCCTCACCTGCATATAATCAATTACCCACCTTTCTTTTTCTTTCCATATTGTATACCACTTAAGTAATCTTTTTGTACTTGGGAGTTTAGGATGCAAGCAGTATTGATGGCCACCTCGGAATCGTGATTTCATTGAGACTCTGAAATAAAAACCAATTTGTCAGTACAGTATGGAGTGGCTCCTACAATTTTAACAAACAAGATTTGTTAACACCATAATTCATCTTAATTCACCATAATTCTTCAGCTGAAGAAGCTTCTTGGATGAGAAGTGAAACGTCTTCAGAAAAACCAGAAAGTCCAGTTGCCTCTTGAAAAAAGCACCTTTGGGACAACCATAATTGGCTAACTATCTCTTTCTGCTACAAGCATTGGGCAAACTGTTTTTCTAGGTGTTGCTAAACATCCTTTAGCAACATCCTTTCTCAAAATATCCTTTATTACTGACCATGTTGGCTGGGACTGTTGCGATATATGGAGTATTGGGACATCTAGAAAGTTGCAGTAGATCATTACTCTCTTAAGAGCTATTTTGTGTAATGGCCATACATGTTCTGTTTTTCTCTCCACACCTGAAACCTTTATTGCATTGTTGCATGAGATTTTGGTGTGAGGAAGAACCTTCCACTTCAAGTAAGTCACAGTTCATGCACTGATAAACAGACTGCAGTGTCATCCACATTAATGCTGTTAAAATTCTGTTAGAGAATTGGAGTTGGGAGAATAGAAAATCTGGATGTGCTTGGTCCATCTTTCTGGCAATCAAGCTCTTAACAAATTGTTAAATGGTAGAGAAAAGAACAAATCTCTAAAGTAGCATGGATCACCACTGGCAAGATTCAGATGCTAGGTGGATCTATTTTTATACCCCACAAGCTCTCCTATGCGTTACATTCATTTTTGATGCACATAAATAACATTTCCCATATTCAGAGGTCAGAAATGGAAAATTTTATGTATATATCTTGCTGTTCTATATAATGAAACTTCTTAAGAACCAAAAGATTTTTCAGTAATCTGCGGCTCTCAGGTCCCAGCATAATTTTAAAGTGATAAAAGCTACTGTAGCATTCCTAATCTTTGCCGTAACAACCATCTTGACAATATTGTGCAACTCTAGTTCTTGTGTTTTTTTTTTCTGTCACACCAAATGCCTGCTTATTCTCTCATGGATTTCTTTGGTGCACTATGGCCTCATTCCTCTTGGCTCCCTTTCTTCTCTAAGATTGTGTAAAATGTTAGAACATAACCATACCAAACAATCATTTTGTTGAAAAAAAAATTCATGAATCCCAGAGCTTTGTGTGACTCTTTATGTCTGAATATGTATATATACACATATACACACATAGAATGATTCCGTTGTGCTTTGTAAAAAACTGTCAAGTTTCTTATTCATGAGTGATAGTAACATAGTTCATACTGCATTCATATAAAGTCATTTTGTTCTGTTAGGCTTAGCGAGCAGTATTATCTCTTTCTTTGTAGGTTATAATCTTTTATTTATAGATTAGCCTGAAATTAGTAATCATGGTTATTTAATGAACTAAAATTAATCTATAGATTGATTGGATTCACATATCACACAAATGTTTTTAGGACAGACATATCTTAACTTGAAGAGTCCTAACAGAGTCAATTTACAATATTTTTCTCTCTGATTGTGATTTAAATTACTTGTTATAAGAAATTTACTATTTATTTATTTATTTCAAATCTGATTTCTTTTTCAAATGAAAATTAAAGGTAAAAAAAAGGGGGAGGACGACTGAGAAGCATTGCCAACTTCAAAACATTAATATGTAGTATAACTTTTTCATTTAAACATTTTCCTGAAGTATTATAAAAATGTTTATAAATTAAATTCATAAATTAAAATGTACACTCTATACAATGACATTGAGTTAACATATAAAACAGTCCTAAAATTTTCAATTCTGTTGAATTTAGTTTGAGATTGCAACCTTATACAGCCTATTCAAAACAATTCTTTTTAGACAAGCATAGGTTTACATTGTAACAGAGAGAGGAAAAAAAGAACTAGAAACAAAAAGAAAGAGAAAATGTATCAGTCTGTTAGGCAGCTAAGTTTTAGGATGATCTAATAAAATAAACTAAAAAAAAAAAACACCAAGTGTTTTTGTCTTGTGAAAAAGAGAAAAAATAGAAGGGATCTTAAGACCGCATGCTCAGAGGCTTAATCGTGAGAAGTTTTTTTTCTTTTGCTGTTTTTAGCAAAGAATGAAAATGTTTTCTAATGGGCATTTCAGTTATATTTCTACCTCAGAAGTTCTGTCTTTTCCCTGCCAGATCTGGCCGAGCTTCTAAAAGTCTGGCATTCACAGCTCCCTCATACCCATCCTAAAAAAGCTTGTGATTGTTTTTCTGCTGGCCTTCCAACATCCCACTTCTGCTGGCATTTTGTTTGTGAGAGCACACTGTTGTTTGGTTTTCCCATCAGGCAGCCCAGACGAGTCCTTGGCAGCCAATGCTCAGGCAGGAAAGCCTCGCACTGCTTTTGTTATGCTGATGCACGTTTCTGAACCCTTTGTCAGCTTCAGGTCACTGATGTAATGGAGACATTACTGTCTATGCAGGCGGACTGGGAAAGAGCTACCTCCATACCTTCTGGAAGTTTGAACATTTCTCAGGACCTGTCAGAAAAAGGAGGTCACTGGCACACTGGACCACAGAAGCAATTGGAATAGGCCTTTCCTGATTTTCACATGAAAGCTGATATTTGGGGACTACAGAGCGGGGAGCAAGAGAGGAGGACACCCCCTTTCCTGTCCATGGAGCTATCTTCTGAGTTTATTTCTCATAAAAGGTAGCCCCCTGCCCCCAATCCCGGATGGCCAAGCCATTCCTTTTCTGATCCAAAATTTCACACTAAGCTCTTGACGATTCCATATTAACAAATGCCAATGAATCTGTTCTAAGAGAGCCAATTTTTTTTTCTTTCTGAGAATTTCTAAAGACAACTTTCTCTTGTTGGGAGTTTTCGTGACCCTTGTGAAGCAGAGTTGGTAGGACACACATTTTTGCACTGGCCCAATTTATCAAAATTTTATATAGCTTCTTCTATAATATAATTCTGTTATTTCTAAGTGCCAGTTTTTGTGTGATTACCATTGCTGTGTGTTAGCAACGGAGTAATTCAACTTATGCAGACAGCACATTTGAATATTGCTTTAAGATTACAGCCATAGATTCATTGGATGGATGCATTACATTTTTGTGGCTGGTCTTCAAATATAATATTGCATTTATCATATATTTACTATCATATTATACCAGTGTCTGGATCACTGATTCTCAGCTCTCTTGCTCACAAAGGCTGGGTATACAGACTCAGGGCAAGGCAGTTCTGAAATTCCGCTCTCCTCCCTTTTCCCTTTTCCCTATCCCATATCCATGTCCATTGACTCTCAGTTGATCATCATTCCTGTATTGCAGGTTGAACAGTTATGCATAGATATATCCCTGTTTTTGTTTTGCTTTCTTTTTTTTCTTTTTTTAAAATTTGATTTATATGCTGCCCTTCTCTGGAAACTCAGGGCGGCTTACAGTGCATTAAACAATAGCCTTCATACTTTTGTATATTTTTATACAAAGTCAGCTTATTGCCCCCACAAACTGGGTCCTCAATTTACCTATCTTAGAAAGGATGGAAGGCTGAGTCAACCTTGAGCCTGGCGAGATTCGATCTTACTTTTAATTGCAGACAGCTGGTGTTAAATTACAGTGCTTAGTCTGTTGAGCTATCCAGGCTCCTCGACATTAAACATTATGTGTTTCAGTAAACACATAATGTTTAATACAGTCCACAAAAAAATTCCCCAAGCTGCTACTCTTCAGATGGTTGTAAATCCCAGACTATTCCTGGTGGCTGGGAATTTGCGAAAGGAAAATCACAGCACTTCTGGTTAAGGAAAGGCTATATATAGGATCAAGTTCAAAGAGAGCATAGCCTGAATTCTACAATTTTGATAAAAGGAATTGTGGAACAACATGCTAGATTCATCCTAAAGTTATAGGGTTAATATTCTTCCCAGAAGCCCATGCTATTGGATTAATTTCATCTGTATGCAAAGACCCTTTTTTGTTCAGAAAAGATTCTCTGTGCACTTAGCTATTTATTTTATTGATCTCCGCTCCTGCCATAAAACTGATTTTCACTTTGGCTTTTTTATTCAGGTGAATAAAATTTATGCCCCAGCCCAGCTTCCTTTTGTTTTATCGATGTAATGTATTATTATTACATAGCTCCAACTACAATTTTTGGCAGATGTTATTTTAAACAAATAATATATCAGAAAACCTTGAATATGCTAATTTTGAATGTCTTCAAATTTACTGAGAAATTATGAATTGAAGAGATTTACTTCCAAATGACTGAATATATAATTTGATTTTACGAACTATCTCGAATATTTATGATCAATTTATTTAACTGCCATATACCAGACCGAGTACAGAGCTGCGAAAGAAGTGATAGTGATTTAGAACAGAGTGGAAGAAATCGCTTTGGCAAGGCACATTCTTCCCTGCTACAAGAATTTTTTTAAGGTATATATTTAACAATTTGATATTGCTTGCAAAGAAGAAACAATGCATTAGCAATCCACCGCAATTCTATTTTTAATTTCTTGATTTTGAATAAATCTCTATAGGTATGCATTATCTTAAAATCACTATATTTTAGCTTATGCCTCCTCTCACTCTGGTTATAGCAGTGTGCAGAAGTGCTCCACATTCATTGAATGAGCACAGAGGTAAAGGGGTTTGATGCACTGTGCACGAATAATTCAGATCTCACCCACCTCTTAACTTTGAACTGTGACAAAGTGTATGTGTGTATATGCCACTTCCAAAATTAGTTTTAGGAATGTTCCTAATAGATTATAATAAAACAGAGTGCAGAGCCAATTTATTAAAAAAATGAGCATCTGTTAATCCCTATTTCGGTCCTGGTAAGAGTGGGTGGGCACGTTATAGAAAATGCATGTGAAGTGAAGAACAATGCAGACAAGTTAAATAAGATGTCAGAAATACTAAAAGCACCATTTTAAATAACTTTTATGGATACAGGAGCTCAGTTTATTTCAGTTTGATTCTGCTACAGGAGTTGCTTAATAAGCAGACTACAAATTAGTGTATTTCTTTGAATGTTTATATACTGAGTATCTTATGAAATGTTTAATTATTATTGTAAGTTAGTTGTATTGGTGTTGAATTCATCCATTTTCCCACCCCTCAACAGATTTAGCCTTAGGAAATATCTGTATATCTAACCAGAAGGGTTCAGAAAGAAAAAGTTCAGTGGGGGGAAAAAAATCTTAAGTCTCTTTTTTATGTTTGTCTTTCTTCAGACTTCAGTATTTTTTTTAAGTTTTAAAGATTAATAAATTTGGAACCACATGTAATATATGGGTCTGCCTGAGAAACATTTGGAGTTATCAATATGAAAAATCTGAAATTGCCAGCAATTAAATCAAGCAAAGAAATTCAACTGGTTCTGAAGACAAACTAAAAGGAAGCACCAGAGAGTGTTGTTTGGAGTTTTCAAACAATGGCAATGAAAAATAAAATTCCTCTTTGCTTACAGAACATTGTTTCCTGGGACAAACTTGTTTTCTTCCTGCTAGAGCAAAAGAAAACGACAGTGTGGAAAAAAAAAATAATTCTTAAGAAGTGGAATAGTGTTTGCTTTTGCCATCATTCCAACACAATAGTGAGGTAAGCTGTGCCTTTCAGTTCATAGATCACTCATCATTTCAATGAGGAGTCACAAGATAGTGATAAAAGTGAGCAGGCAATGACTCTTTTTAATATCTTTACTGTGGAATACTGTTTTTATATGGTAGTATCCAGTATGGAAAAACATCATTCTGGCCACTTCCTTTCCTCAAAGTGCGATGATGTGGGTGAATCTTAATTCTACAAGAGAGCCTTTTCCCCAACTTTTGCTGACTTTTTCAAACTAATATCTGTGGTGTCCTGAGTTATATCATTATGGTGCATGTCTAAAATAAAAGAAGCCACTGGCTATTTGGCATTATATACTTTAGCTAGTAAACATTTTTTGGGGGAGTCTACTACAGAAACATACCACAAGAAAGATGTTATGGGATCTGAAAGTAGCTATTGCTACTTTCCTTCATCTCTCATATTTGATTTATCACTTAGAAGAAAAGGCAATATTGCTAAATGTCTATGTAGAAGAGTCCTGTTTCTTGCATCAGTTGACACAGAGGAGAGTGAGCTGTGATGTACTACAACTATCCTTTTTTTAAAAAGTAAGACCAGTTCATTTACATTTGTTACTTAAGTGGGTTTCAGAGCCCATACAAAAAGTTCTATGTGGGATTTTTTTAAAAGGAAGATTTTCTTAGCATGTTTTTGATATGGCAGTCAAAGGGGTGAGGAGTGAGTATTATATAAAGTAGGCATGATTAACAATGACTTGCCAAGTAATGCTATTTAGCACAAATTCCCAAAGAGGTAGAGGTGATTTTGGGTACTGAAATCAGCAACTTTACTCAGCTAAGAGAGATTCCTTATGCATAGTCCAAATATTTAGTAGCAGTATATCTCACTGAGCTTAATGGACTCAAAAATAAATGTACTCAGTATTACATTACAGTTAAAGGTTTTTAGTCATTTAAGAGAATGGGATTGCAATAGTTGCACTGTCCTGCAGCATTTTATAATAAATATTTCACTTTAATTGCTTCTGTGAAGATTAAGATTCAGAATATGGAAACTCTAATGCCCACATATACACAAATAAATAAGTACAGATACATAAACAACTGAAAAGATTTATTGCATTTCTAACTTCATATTGCATTTTTAGTTTACACTTAATAAATTAATGATGTTTCCTAAATGTAAGAGAAAAAAAACAAGTTTCCAGCTATTTTTCTACACTAAATATGTTATGCTTCTGTAATAAACAGATTATTTTGATCATTTTAACATTTGCAGAAAGGCAGACTTAAATTAGATTTAGATATAACACTGTTTTTTTTTTTAAAAAAAAAAACTTACATGATCATTCGTTCCTTGCAATATGGATATTTTGGCCGCTCTTCAAGTTTCTGAATATCAGAGAATCTTATTTTCGGACCCTTCCTTAAGCATTTGCATTTTGATCCTATAAGACAAAAAGTATGTGTCCATTTGTGCATGTACTAAGTTCAAATATTATTTTTAAATCTACAAAAACAACTGATTTGTTTATAGTTGCACTTTAAAAAACAAGGGCTATATTTGTAAACATTTTTATATCAAGGCTTCAATCCTACATTTGCTTAAGCAGTTTACATTCAGTTGAAGTAGACAGAAGACATGTAAATGTCTCTGTTTATATACAGAAATTAGATCCATTAGATCTAGTAGGGCTAATTCCCAAGTAAACCAACTGGATTGCAACCTTTGTGTATAACAAGCCATGTGACAACCTCATCTTTTAATTCTGCACCTGCTGTGTTGAAATAAGAAAAGCTTAAGGAAAATAATATGACCAATGATTTTCATGGGTGTTAATTTCTTTCCTTTTGATAAATATTTATTTATTTATTTATTTATTTATTTATTTATTTATTTATTTATTTATTTATTTATTTATTTATTTATTTATTATGCTGCCCTTCTCCGGAGACTCAGGGCGGCTTACAATACGTTAAGCAATAGCCTTCATACTTTTGTATATACCTGCTTAGTAGAGCTTTCAGACACCCCCCCCCCAAGCGGTGTTCTTTTTTATACAAAGTCAGCTTATTGCCCCCACAATCCGGCTCCTCACTTTACCTACCTCGGAAGGATGAAAGGCTGAGTCAACCTTAAAAGAGTATGCCAAAAGAATTCCAAATTCAACATTTTACACTCTACAAACTGCAAAAAAATAACACAGTACCAAGCTGGGCCAAAGAGAAATTTAACAACAAACAATTCAAGCCTTCCAACAAAACCAAAATGTTAAAAATTCTTGATACCTGCACCTGTTTGAGTTCTGTTCACTTTTTCCACTGTGCAAAACCATGAATGAGTTCACCCTTCAAAGCTGGTCCTTCCAAGAAGTAAACTTTGGCTGAAAAATTAAATGCCAACTAGGGCTACCCATGGCTTTTCATGGGAGCTTTGCTGACAGTTCTCATTTTTGCAAACCTATATTCTGCAGTCTCTTGTCATTTTTCTTTTTTTCTAAGTCCTTCCAAGGACCACAACTGGATTTCAATCTGCTATTTCGGTGAGGGATGAAAGGTAAAAACGCCAGAGTGAGTGAGAGAGACGGTGGTTAGTGAGGAACCTGTAACTTACCTTCTACGCTGGTAAAGCAGATTACAAGGACCAATATGAGGAGAACTGCGGTCAAAAGCTTCATAGTAAAGACCTGAAGAGCCTAGAAATGGGTTCACTTAGGTCTCACTGGGTTAACCTGCTTTCTCTTTGCCCCAGGGATTGTTCAGATAGTGGGGGTGTTTGAGGGGTGCCAGGCCAAAGGACGGATCGTGACTGACTCGTCCGGCTTTGCTCTTCTGGTTTCTGTTGTGTCTCTTCCTGCACGTCCCTCCAGTTTCAGCTCCTCTCTGCCTGAGCACGGAGGCTTTCCTCCTCTTTTAAAACAGCTCCTGCTGCCCTTTTTCCTCTGACTCATTAATATGCAGATAGACTCAGTTACTTTCAACAATTTCGCAATTCCCCCCTCCAAAGGGAGGGACTTAGAGCAAGCAAAAATAGCTGATTCTGCTCAAGGCAGCGAAGTATCTTCCTGGGTCTCACAATGTAAGGAGAGAAGATGAAGGTGAGAAAAACGGGGTGAAAAGGAAGTCTTCCTCTCCCCCCCTCTACCTTCTCTCCCCAAAAAAACCTGGGAGTGAAACCTGTCATAAAAACCCCTTTAGCTGAAACTCTTGGGAAACTCACTGGCTCTCAGGTCAATGCACCTCAGGAGGCTCCTATTGAGGATAAAACTGGAGGAAAGGATAGCATTAACCTCACACAGAGCTGGAGAGAATGCAGAACACAAGTGATCCTAACAGGATAGGATTTAAATGTGAATGGCAGCTCCCAGAATTTAGCACAGAAATAACGTTGATCCTTTGGTTGTTAGGAAAGATTTCAAAGTTTTGCAGACATACCTGCCTCCTTTCAGAGAGGATAGTGAATTTCCCCTTTTCAGGAGTGCAGCTCTGGGCTTTGCTTTTTCTGCCACACACTGAAATCTAAGCATGCCGTGTTGCATATTCTGCGATGCATTATCACGATAATGACCATCACTATAACTGGGGAGCAGCTACAGCAACATTTATCAGACTTGGCTGATGTCAATCTAGCTGAACAATCTGACCTTGTGTGGGAGATCACCAGAAAATCTCAGAGCTGAATTGGAAAGTTGAAAAAAAACAACCTAGAAAGAAGGCAATGGAAACGCCATTTCCATTCTTGTGCCAAGAACCAACTCTTCAGTAATCAAGCTTGATTTGATGGAGTCATATTGAATTAGATGAATGAATGGTTTTGGTGCAGGATATCTTTCTGTTTTCTTTATGCTAATTTGAGACTAATTTCAGTGGTTATTAGAAATGGAATTCCACCAACAAGCCATCCCTATAAAACATCTCCCTATGTGGTTGTAAGGACTTTATCACATCATTGGGGGGGGGGGAATTGAAATCATATGTTTGTCTAGCCTTTGACATCTAGATGATGTCATTTTTCTAGGAAGCACGCTGAAGATAATTTAATATCTACTGCTTAGAGTTGGACCAAATAATGGGACTGTATGAAGGGGGCAAGAAAGTCTGCCCACTTCCAGTCAGAGGCTGCCTCACATTTACTGATTGATTACTTATATTATATTACTGATGATCACTTATATTCTTTGCCAAGATATTTCAAACTGTGCTCCTCAAGAGTTTGATGGGGTTCCATAAGAAGTTGATGGGGTTCCCTGAGAGATTCAGGACAAAATTTAAAAAAAGACCTCATGGAGATAATTTTCTATCACTAGAGATTCATCTCTTGATCAGGGATTCCATTTTTGTTCCCACTAACAGGTTCACTAGCCTGAAAAAGTTGGAAAATTGTGCTCTATAGTGAAAGTACAACTTCCCCAGTTCTAGTTTTGGCTTCTTGAAACTTCAGTACCAAAGGGATATTGGAATCTGGTTGATTCTGGAAGTAACTGCTATTTGAAATCCTACAAATCGAATTCTTTGCTGTGACCTGTTTAAATTGCATCTTTCTGCTATGTATTGTGGTGCTCCAGTTGAACAGGGACCTACTTCAAAGTAAAATGGAGGGAAAAAATACAGGTGCTTCACAATTCCATCTTTATTCTTCGTGTTTGGTTAGCTTTTGTATAATTTTTGTTTTATGTTTTTAACTTTTTGTGGCTTGAATAGGTATTGTGTTATGGACATTTTAGCGACATAACTGTAACCCATTGAGAATCTTTGGATTGCCGCAAGTGAAAAACAAAAGGATGAAAAAAATGGGCTTGTTTTCTAAAGGTGGAAGGTTGTTTAGGCCACTAAGTCCAACTTCTTCATCATATAGAAATACAAATTAAAAAATTGCAAACATCTGGCTATCTAGCCCCCACTTAAACAAATTGAGTGAAGAGAAGGCCATCATTTTTGGGGGGTAATTGGTTCCACTGTCAAATTATTTTTACTATTTGGAAATTTTTCTAGCTTTCCACTGAAATCTACCTGAATTAAGCCCATTGTATCTTGTATTCTTTAGTAACATAAAACAGGTCTTGAGCTTCTTCTGTGTGACATTCTTTCACAGGCTATATCTGCAGAATGCTTTTATATTTCCTATTAGTCATATTTTATAAATATATCCAGGTTCTTCAATCTGTTGTCATAGACTTTCATTTTAACTTGCTGATCATTCTTCTTGTTGCATTTTTCCAAACCTCCTTGCATTTCTCTGAATTGTTCGAAAAGGGTAGCATCAAAAATGCAGGTAGTATGTGGCCAAAGTTGAATAAACTGGAATGATTACTTTCTGTGGTTTGCGGAAATGGTACATCTGTTGATTCAACCCACAATTGGATTTGTCTTTTTTTTTTTTTTTTTTTTGCATGCAGAACACACTGCTGGCTCAAATTCAGGCCGTAATCAATAACTATCCCAAGATCTTTTTCACAAATATCACTATCAAACCAGATATTCCCCATTCTATACATGTGTGTTTGATTATTATTATTTCCTAAGGGAAGAACTTTTCATCTAACTCTGTTAAATTTCATTTAATTACTTTCAGCCACTCTCTCTAATCTAAAATTGCCTGTTTTCTCTCAAAGCCAATTATCAGCCATCTGCGATTCTCATTTCCTCAATCTTCTTATTCAAGTCATTAATAAAAATATTAAAGAGTAGGAAATCTAAGCCTGAGGTTTGAGACATACCAGGTGATATTTCTATCCAGTTCCATAAGAAGCCTTTGATGAGCACTTTTTGAGTACAATTATCTAGCTATCCAGTTCATCATTGTTCACTTAACTGGCTGATTAATCAGGATGTCATGATGAAATTGTGATCTACCAAGACACTATCAGGGGTAGTGCAAAAATAAAGAGTTCATGTGGTATAGAATAGTTAAGAGATGCCTTTTTCTACTTACATAAACCATGCCTGTGTATGAATTCAATTTTCCCTTGTTTGTAGAGAATATGAGCACAGAGCATGGAAAAAGAGTGATTTTGATAAGTCAACATTCATGAATTAATTATTCAGCAAAAGAAAACCAGAAAAAAAATGGACTGTCCTTCTTAATTAATGACATGACTATGAGAGCTTTTCTTTCAGAATCCAATATTGTTTCCAATGTCTGAAGCTGGCAATTTAAGGAGTACATGCATACCACACGCACAAAGAATATATTGAATGATGTATCCAACCCCCCCCCCCCAGCATGTTTCCTACTCATGTGAGACGTGCTGCTGACATGCTTGGAACATCTTGAATATCCTTGAGGCTTATTAATGCAAATCTCTGTGTTTCCTTCTTTTCCAAGACGTGCTTCTTCTGTACCTTCAATTGCTTGTGTCTGTATCTGTATGCATGTGTGTTTCTCTCTCCCTCCCTCCCTCTCTCTCTCTCTCTCTCTCTCTCTGTGTGTGTGTGTGTGTGTGTGTGTGTGTGTTTCTCACAGAAAATAAGCACTCTTGGGTCAAAGGTCATGGCAGCAAACATACAAATGAAATGCATCCCGCACTGATCTGACAAAGCTAACCTAGTGACCATCAAATTATTATCTTGTTTTTTTAGTACATAGTTTAGAGGAAAAAACAAATTAAGGAGATGAAAAATTCAGGCGAAGCCCTGCAAGGTTCCAAAGCAGTGGCTGGGTTGGGAAAGAAATAAGGAAACAATCATGTTTTATTTCTCAAGCTTAGCATATGAATTTAGAGATTACAACAGACAAATCTGCTTGTGATTTATTGTGTTGCTTTTGGTTGGGATTAATGTGCTACAAGTCATCACTATTATTTATTCAATCTGATTGATGTTATGCAGAAATGGAATAGATGAGCCACTATGTTCCCTTGCTGGCTCCATCCAGAAATGGATGGAGACATGGAAAGGAAAAGCAGAACAGCCTAAGCAGGAGCTACCAAAGAAGTAAAGGGTCAAGGAGACATATCTGCAAATTTCTATAGCCTTAAATTCATGGGATGGCAGATCACTACCTCTCTGCTTAGCCTGTCCCAAAAAATATATCACAAAATAGGATCATGACAACTAGTCCAGATTCTGTGAAGCAATAAGTCTTCTTAGGTACTCTACTTAGAGAGTGAAGACAAACATCTGAGAGAGGAAGTGGGGAGGTTTGCTTAATATCTGGAATCCAAACAATATTCTTTTGAATTCACTTATATCCAGGTTGATTATTGGGATTCAGGTAATGCTGCTTGCATAATGGATATGAACACTGTGGATAATTGGCATCCATGGGGAGCTCTTGTATTTGCATCATCATATGTGCACCCGGAGCTCTTTTATCAAAAGGTGAAAATCAGGTATCAATGGACAGACAGAATGTAGTGTTCACTGTGGCTGTGGATGAAGAGAGTTAATCTTATCCTTTATATGCCCAAACAGGTCATCCAACTCTCTGTAGGTGATCCTATTTCTAAGGGACAGGATTTGAAATAATCTTGGGTACTGCTGTCACTGTCTGGGTTGTAAACTAAATAGCTAGACAACAGGAAACAGGCTCTTTTTATGATGGGTAGGCAAGTAAAGGGAGGCACTGATTTGGGGAAGAGATATGAAGATTTCCTGGGAGATATGCTATACTTCAATTAGTGCTAAAGGTTATAGTTTAATTAGGTTAGAGTTTAATTAACCCTAAAGGCAATGCGAGAGGAGACAGAATCGAGGAAAAGAAGCTATTTTGGGAGAGAAGAGAAAGACAGCAAGCTAGCTCAGCACTGCAGATGGGATTCCAATTTGGGGTGATATGAGGAGGAAGAGGGAGACAAGGCATAAGAGAAAGAAGGAAGAGATATGGAACTTGCAGAAGTTCTCCTGGCATAAATACTACTTGTGGACAAGATGGAAGGCAATCTGGCTTTATAGAAGAAATGCCGGAGAAACAATTGGCACTGAGAAATG